ATCACAGGTTTGGGAGTCAGACCTCCTGGAAGCCAGGTTCCAATATGCTGCTTCCCTACCTGCTTCGCCAGCCAGGTGAAGTGACTCAGTTCCAGAAACTATCTCCTGACACAATTAAAGGGGGTGTGAATACTTTGCACCAGAGATTATCGAGAGAATTAGTGAGATAATGAAAAGACCTGGATAAGAGCAGGCACTTTGGAAGCAGGGGAACTTTCTGCCAGGTCCTCACACTGCACACAGCTTACAGTATCTCATTGCAGACAGGGTTCCAGAGGGGGGTCCGTATGGTCACTGGGCACGCCCTGGGGGATTAGGCAGACGTGTGTTCAAACCCCAGCCCTGCCTCTTCCCTTGGCAGCAGCTGGGAGAATGAGTAAATCACGTGCAGCTAGAGTTTCTTTACTATAAATTAGGGAGAGCGATACCTACTCAGAAGTTGTTACAGAGACTGAAATTATGTGAACTATCACCATAGTCAGTACTCAGTAAATGTCAGCTCCTTTCTCCTCCTCCTCTCCACACTTCAATCCATGTATTTTGTGTTAGGAGGATGGGAAGAGAAACAGAGACGTGATTAAGAAAATGGTCCCTTAGGAGCACCTGGGTGGCACAGTCAGTTAAGTGTCCAACTTGGTTTCAGCTCAGTTCACAATCTCACAGCTTTGTGGGGTTGAGCCCACATCAGGCTCTGTGCTGGCAGTGCATTGCCTGCTTGAGATTCTCTCTCCCTCTCTCTCTCTCTGCCCCTCCCCCACTTGTGCTGTGTCTGTCTCAAAATAAATAAAACTTAAAAAAAAAAAAAAGAGGGGTGCCTGGGTGGCTCAGTCGGTTAAGCGTCCGACTTCGGCTCAGGTCATGATCTCGCGGTCCGTGAGTTCGAGCCCCGCGTCGGGCTCTGGGCTGACAGCTCAGAGCCTGGAGCCTGCTTCAGATTCTGTGTCTCCCTCTCTCTGACCCTCCCCCATTCATGCTCCGTCTCTCTCTGTCTCAAAAATAAATAAACGTTAAAAAAAAAATTTAATAAAAAGAAAAAAGAAAATGGTCCCTAAATCCTGCTTCACATTAAAGATGCAAGAATACAAGCATTTGCATGGCGTTCTTAGCCACACCTACCTGCAACTTGATCATTTGTTCCATAGATATTTATTGAGTACCCACTGGGTGCCACGTATGGTTGTAGGCAGTGGGGTACAGAAACACAGAAAACAGTAAGTCTGCTTTGATGGTGCTTATATCCAGTGAGAGATGGATAATAAACAAGTAGACGATATAATGTCATAAATAGTACAGGCGAAGAAAAATAAAGCAGGGAACAAAGAATTTGTTATTATATATGAATGGTCGGGGGCAACTGCTCTGAGGAGGAAACATTTGTGTGGAGCCTTTGTTCGTGCTGTTCCCTGCACCTACATGTAGTGCCATCCCTGTCACTTGTTACTCTCCATCTTTCAGGACCATCCTATTCATCAAAATTCCACTCAGACATCACCTTCTCTGAGTGCGGCTTCTGCTCACCTACTGAGGCAGAGTTAGGCTCTCTCTTCTGTGCTCCCGCAACACCTTATACTTCATCAGGCTATACTTCCCATGTTCAACATGCTTCTCCTCCATTGGACTCAAGCTCTTCAGGGTCACAGGCTCTTCTTCCTTTCAGCTTTGATGTGGGGCACAGTGCAGAATGAGTTCCTTGATGGTTCACAAGGGAGTCATGGGGGCAGTGGGTCGACTCAGATGTCAGCACATCCTGGCCACGCTCAGCAGCGGCAGGTAGGAGGCCGCGGTTTGTCCTGGGGAAGCCCACTCAGCAAGGGGATGTGCCCTTTGCTCTCCAAGCTAAGCATGCTCTTTCTCAGACAGGGTGGTCATCACAGAGCGCAAAGTAAACTCTGTTTCAAACCTTGTGGTTGGAAATCATCTTGCTCAATAATATAATCGTTATACAGTGCCAGTGTAGGACCTCGAGCTCATGGTTTGCACCTCCATCCAGCCTTCCTCTCCTCACACCTCCATTGCCAAGTCTGCCATCTTGTTTCTCACCCACTTAACTTGCCCAGTTCCACTCTGCTTCTCCCTTCCCCTCCCTGCTGTGTGGTGGATGGGTGAGCTCTCCTAAGACCCAAGTTCAGTATCTGGCTTTGCCAGTTGTCATATATATGGCCTGGGCCCAATCAGCTCCCTTTGCTAAATCTCAAGTTCATTACCTTTGAAATAGAACTAATCCTCCTGTGCTCTGCCAAAGATACATAATGTTACGGTGATAACGTTATAAATTAAAATATCCTAAGGCAAGGGTGACTGGATAGCTCAGTTGGTTAAGCCTCGGACTCTTGGTTTCAGCTCAAGTCACAGTCTCACAGTTCCTGAGATGGAGTCCCACATCGAATGCAGAGCCTGCTTGGGACTCTCTGTCTCTCTCTGTCTCTCTGTCTCTCTGTCTCTCTCTCTCTGTCTCTCTCTCTCTCTCTCTCGCCATCTCCCTCTGCCCCTCCCCCACTCTCACGCTCTCAAAATAAGTAAAGTAAAACAAATAAAAATATTCTAAGGCAATATATGAGCTGAGCTACAGGTGAAAAACCCCCAAATTTCACTTCTAGCCTCTCCAACCAACTGGCTATAGCAGTTCACTCACTGTCTCTGGACTGTTTCCCCAAATACACGATAGAGTTGACAAAGACAACTAACACCTACTGAATCATTGCACGTGCCAGGCACTCTTCTGAGTGTTTGACCCTCCTCACTATAATCCTGTGAACTTGCTACTATAGTCACCCCTGTTACACAGCTGAGGACACATTGGCACAGAGGTTACGTGACTTGCTCACGGTCACACGCTTAATAAGGGACCGAAGTGGGATTCAAACCCAGTCTGTCTGGCTCTGGAGCCCACAGTTTTAACCATCACATCATATTGCCAACCATGATGCTGTAATTCCTACCTGGCAGAGCTGTTGGGAGATGCAGAGAGATTATATGGAGAGGATCTATGCTATTGTAGACATCCAATCAATATTAGCATGATTGTGTTACACCTCTTCGGAGCTTAGCGCAGCCTAAGTTTAATAAACACTTACTTTGTTGCTGCATTTGGTTGTATGTCTGCTTCCCATTCAGCTGTGATTCTCAGGATCAGGCACTTACCTGGAGATGCTGCCTTCCTGCAAACCTGGGTGTCATAACATACCAGGACCTTCTTAAGAATCCTTCTAAGAGGGTGCTGCTTTGTCCTTTGTATTGGTTCTTTGTCAGTGGTTGAGGCTTTGGAGGGAGCTGAACGTTAAATAAGGAGTTGGGTTTTGTTGTAGAGGTCAGTCCGTTCTGAGCACAAGGAAGGCGGGGTCGGGTCTGCAATTTTCTCTGGCTCCGGGAACAAATACCCCGCCTGCTCCTCTAAGCTGGAGAGTCTCGAGAGATGTGGGGATTGGTGGTGACCTCCAGCCCGCTGGCGATTACACAGAAAGCTGAGAGCAATTTTTAAAGTCTTCTCGCCATTTTGCTCTCCCTTTAAAAATTAAATGCCTGACACCGAGGTGTTTTATTCCCAGTCCAGCTGGCCTTTAAGTGGATGGCTTGGAAGTGAGGATGCCTGATGACCTTCTGACCTTGGGAGTTTCCAAGGGTGGGAAATGGCACCAGAAGGGAGAGTGACCTCATTCTTTTTGTCAACTTCATGAAAAAGAAATGAAAGCATCAGTCTTGATGACTGAGTTCCACAGTGAGGGAGCCACGGGAAGGCTCCAGGAGCAAGGATATGGTGGGGAATTGTGGACCCAGCAGGACTGGGAGGTGTGTAGAGTCTGAACAGCACCACGAAATGGGCACTGGACCTGGAAGGGGAAGACCTGGGCTCTAAGCTCAAGCCTGCCACTAACTGACTCTGTGGTTGGGGGTAAGTTACTGACCCTTTATTTTTTTTATTTTTTTATTTTTTTTTAATTTTTTTTTTCAACGTTTATTTATTTTTGGGACAGAGAGAGACAGAGCATGAACGGGCGAGGGGCAGAGAGAGAGGGAGACACAGAATCGGAAACAGGCTCCAGGCTCTGAGCCTTCAGCCCAGAGCCCGACGCGGGGCTCGAACTCACGGACCGTGAGATCGTGACCTGGCTGAAGTCGGACGCTTAACCGACTACGCCACCCAGGCGCCCCAGTTACTGACCCTTTAAATGAAGGTATTCTACTCCATGTTTCATATGTAAACAGCGTAATGAAGTTGTTAAAAGCAAGCCTTGGAGTGAATGCTAGTTGTACCGCTTACTGCCTGGGTGATTTGAATAAGTTAACTTCCCTCTCTGAGCCTCGGTTTTCACATCTGTGAGCTAAAGATCTCAGAGTCCATGCCGTTGTTCATCCTGTGCTTAATATGCCCCCAGAGCTCCCTTTCCACCCTGATCTCTCATCTCTGCCTGGTCACATCCTCCTTTGGAATTCAGACTGAATTTCCTTTCCAGAGGAAAGCTTTTCTTGATGCCCTGGCTGGTGGAGCTGCCCCCCAGGCCCATCCTGCATTCCTGTCCCCTCCAGTGCCTCCCCTGTCCCTGCCCTGATCACTGCCTGTGGAATCCTCAGGGGCCTGGGGCTGGTTCTTCTCCACCTCCCCAGAGCCCACACAGGGCCCGATTCCCGGATGCAGGCTCTAAATGCCTGCTGATGGAATGAATGAATTTCTTTCCAGCTCTGAAATTCTATGCTTCTAAGTCTATTTGTCCTTATATATGCCTAATTTCCAAAAACAGACATAAAATACGTTTCTTTCCTTTCACAAAAAGGTAATAAATACAATCCTTTACACTGATATAGAAATCTGCACTCGACAAAACATTTTTCACATTTATTACCCAGTACCCCGCTACCTAGCGGCTTATCAACACTCGAGTTTCAAAGCAATTCAAAGCTACTGTTGGAGCTCGTACAAACAGATCTAGCTTTTGAACTACTGGAACCATCTCCTTGCCTTGAACTGACCACACGTCCAGGACCGCTGCCCCCTCCCCCTCCCCAGATGGTCTCTTCGCCAAGCCCTGAGGTCTCGGTGACCCCCAGGTAATGAACCAAGTAGGTCTGCAGGTCTCCCTGATCTCCGGAGTCCACTTTCTTAGTCTGGTTTGTATCATTGCAACAATGTCTGTATCAAGTACGTGATTTCCAAATTCACAGCCTCACAGAGGAGCCTGCCGTTGACAGAGTTGTCAGCAGGGGGAAAAAAAAAAGAATGCAAGATTGTCCAACAGAAATAAATCTTGGAGAGTGTTTTGCCAAGCCATCCAAGCATTCATACATTTGCTGCTGCATGCAGGAAAGGGGGGAGGGAAGGGAAAAGAAGGGGGAGGGATGAGCGAAGGAAGAACTGAGGCTGGCTGGTGCTTCTCCCTCTCCCTGCCCTGCTTCTCCCATCCTTCCTGCAGGCCCACACGAGATGTGTGTGTTATCTTTTCCTTCTTGGTTTATTTTCTTCCTGTGACTTTTTTCCATTGCCACTCCCGGTGGGCTGCATGCTAAAGGAGAACAAAGAGATTTCAGTTTGCTGTGGGCGTCCAAACACTGTGTTGGACACAAGCTTCAACCCTACAACATAGGCCTCCTCCACCGTTTGCAAACTGCTGTGGCTCCCCTTTGCTACTTGGATCTATTTCTGGACCCCTAACTTCAATTTTTAAAATGCTTTTCTGGGATACCTTGCCCATCCAAATCTCCTCCAGGCCTCAAGGCCCGCTTGGGGTTCTGCTTCCTCCACAGAGCCTTTCCAGACAAACCCAGTCTTTTGCAAACTCTACTGATTTTGGAGAGCTGTGCAGTGAAAATGCTACAGGCCTTTGGCTCCGTTGCCTCCAGTTTCCTTCTTCGCACCTTTCTCCTTTGTGTATTTCAGATTACTTACTTTTAGGAGATTTCAGAGTTGTTGAAGGAAGAATGAACATTTCCCCGGGTGTTTCTGTGCTTGAAAATGCTTCTGCTTTTAGCAGGTTCTGCAATCTTAGGCAAACCGTCAACATCTTTTGGCCACGGTTATCCTCCTCTGTAAAATGGGGCAGTAATGTCTACCTTATAGGATGCTTATGAGGATTTAATGAGTAAATATAACTAGCTTTTGAGGGCTGTGTCTGGCAGTTAGTGGCAGTCAGTGAACAATAGGTTTCTCCATAAGACACTGGTCGGAGATTGTGCCGATGATTAAACAAAGGATACTATCGTTAGTGTGTGTGGGGGCCACACTGCCTGAGTTCAAATCCAAACTACACCACCCTGTTCCCAGAGCAAGTTAGTTCACCTCTCGAAGTCTGTTTGTAAAGTAAAGCTGATCATGGAGCTCACCTGTTAAGGATGATACAAAATAGTCCATGGAAAGCATTTGGCAAAGTGCCTTTGACGGAGCAGGTGTTCAATGCATGTCAACTATTTTTGAGGAGGAGATGGAGGGCATTTTCATTTATTCTCTTAACTGTTCACTGCATTCCAGAGTGCTCTGATGAGGGAACTATCACCCACTGTGTAGATTCTGAGGATTCACATCATACCTGTGATGAGTCAGATGACTGCATGTCAGTAAGAAGAGCCCAAGGCTTGGACTTCTAGACAGCTGCCTTGAGCCTGGCCTCTGTGCTTTACTTAGTTTGTGACTTTGAGAAAGTAAACTTCTCAGAACCTCCTTTTCATCCCCTGTGACATGGGATAATAACATCTACTTTTAACAGTAAAACACACACACACACACACACACACACACACACTCATTCACTAGTGTCGGCACATAGGAGAGCACTGTTTGAACTAAAAATTGTGCTACAAAGGAAGGATATTATATATCTGTTATCATCCTTATTATAATCAGCCAAGTAACACTAGGATAGCATGTCTCATATGCCACCCTGGGCTGGGTCTGAGAAGTCTCCAACATTTTTGAACAGAATAATTGTGGGCAGTGGAAATGTCATGAATTCTGAGAGGGCCAGAGCTGGTGTTCTGATCACAGGCCAAGCCAGAGCCATCCCAGAGTGGTTCAGGCCCGAGGACTGGAAATGAGCATTTAGAAGACCTACTCAACTCTGACTCTGCCTCACATACGAATTGAGCCAATCCACTCCATCTCTCTGGGCTGCTTCTTCTATCTTGTTTTTTTGTTGTGTTTTGTTGCCTACTAAGTGGGGATTAACAACGCATGTCTTGCCTACTTTGTGCAGTTCCTGGGAGGGTCAAATGAGGTGACTGATGTTAAATTGCTGGGGACATGGTATCATGCACCGTGTGCCGTGACATTGCTCAGCTTCCCCACTGGTCTACAAGGTTTTGGAAGGGAGCGACTGGGCTCCCTTATAAGCATTTTCTCGATGCTTATAACAATGCTTATAACGTCACATTCAGCGGATGCTCGGGAGCTGGTAATAAAGTACTGTTGCTGTTCATCTTATTAATAAGCTTCAATGCTTTCAATCCCTAAACTCCTTGCCAAAAGAGAGCTCTTCCTCTAAGAGGTTGCCTTTAAGCTTTTAGCTAACAGAAGCGGCTCGTACCACTGCTGCTGATTGTTATTGCCAGTGAAACACCTTCTGTGTTGTGCTAGGCACTTCATATGCGGTATCTTTAACACACAGGGCACTTCTGTAAGGGGCGTGAGGAATCGTGCTTAGAGAAACATGGGGCAATCTGCTCAAGGAGACATAGCTTATAAATGGAAGAATGAGGATTTGAACCTAGCGTGTGTGATTGCAAATCCTCTGTGTGTTCCCCTGGACCCCTTGGCTACTGGGAAGCCCACAAGCAGCCCACTTGTTCCGTAATAGCCCACACTTGGGTGAGGCAGTGATTTCTCCTGTGAGTGGATTAGAAGTAATTCCCACTTTGAGAACGCAGGGGTGGGAGGAGCAGACAGGCCAAGGGAAAAAAGCCAGAGAAGCAATTCTTCTTGCGATGGAAAAAAAAAAAAAAAAATCTGTATTTGGATTCTTTTTTACACATCCAACCCAGCAGAAAATTGGTTTGCGGAAGATGTAGGTCGTGGCTCTGGCCCCGGCATCTGGACGCCTTATATTGTACACTATATTACCGGAGTAATATCGTGCACTTTATTAGCACCAGCAGGATTTGGGATTCCCATGGGGACTGTTCTTTGCTGTCAGATGTATAAGGCCATTTAATCTCCTTTATCAGATCTGGTTCTGCTCCCCCCATCCTCACCTCCTCTTGCAGACCAATAAAGAGAATTTCTTCAGATTCATTGGTCTGAAAACTAGCTTTTAAATACTTCTTCATCCTCCTCAACCCCTGTATCTAATAAGCAAGCATACCAGGGATGTGTCAATGCCTTGAAAATCACTCTGTGCATTTGAGTAGCGATTTTCTCAGCACATTTGTAATTGGAACTTCCTTTTCCTAATGCAGAGACTGGAGGAAGAATTTGCTAATTATTCCTAGCCAGCTCTGGTCTCACCCAGGTACTGTGATCTTTGGGAACCGGGTTGGCATTCTCTTGTTAGAAGGCCAGCTATACCTTTAGGTCTGGTTAGAGAAATGGCTAGAGTCACTTTGGAAAGAAGGACAGTTTTCTCAGGACAGAATCTGGGTTTATGCCTGGCCTGTTTGGGGGCCGTTTTTGATAGAACCAAATAAGATATTCAGGGATCAGAAAGATTTGTGTTCAAAATCCAGTTCTGGGCATATTCTCCGAGCTCTATGATACTTATACACACACATAGTGTATGTGAGCCCTGGGATTGTTGCAAGTGACCTTGGGATCAGACATAGCTCTGCATTTGGAGAGACCACAGTCGTGGACAGGACACGTGTCTGAACAACTGCTGTCAACACAGTGTGATAGTGCTGTGGGGTCACAAAGCAGATCTTTGGTGCAGACATACCTGTCAACAGCAGGAATCAGGGAGGAGAGGATGTCTAAACCGACGGCAGTTTTGGGAAAGTCTCTTCACCTCTGAGCTTCAGTGTTTTTAGCTGTAAAATGGGGCAGTAATACTTACCTTGAAGGGTTGTTTGGGAAATAAGCTATATACTGTATGTAAAATGATTAGCTCAGTATCTACCACATAATAACTAGTAGTGTTTAAAACAGATGAAGGGTTGAGCAGCAGCACTAATAGTTCTTTTTATTTGTGGGGCAGAAGTGGAGAGAACTGTAGCTATAGACCTGGGAGACTTGGATTTAACTCAAGTCCCTTCTTGGCTGTGTGACCTCAGGCAAGTTGCTTTGCCCCTCTGAGTCACAAGTTCCTTTCTGTCAGATGGGGATAAGGTGGTGAGGATCCAATAAAATAGTTACACGGGAAGGGGTTTCACCAATGGTGAGGTATTGTGTGTCTGGAAGGTATTCATCCTGTTACCATTGTTATTATAACTAATAGGTAGAGACCATGTGGGAAAGTCAGCTCTGCAGACTGGAGGATGTTTGATGCTCAGGAGTTGAACTGGAGGTTAAATAAGCCAGGCTTAGTTCACCGGGTGTCTCTATGGAGCACATAATTTTATTTTTTAAATAATTTTGGGGCTCCTGGGTGGCGCAGTCGGTTAAGCGTCCGACTTCAGCCAGGTCACGATCTCGCGGTCCGTGAGTTCGAGCCCCGCGTCGGGCTCTGGGCTGATGGCTCAGATCCTGGAGCCTGTTTCCGATTCTGTGTCTCCCTCTCTCTCTGCCCCTCCCCCATTCATGCTCTGTCTCTCTCTGTCCCCAAAATAAATAAACGTTAAAAAAAAAAAGTTTAAAAATAATTTTGTTTCAGTTTTTTCATCATGATTAAGTGTACTCTTTAATCCCCCATCCCCTACTTCCCCCATCCTCCCTCCCCTCTGGAAACCACCAGTTTGTTCTCTATAGTTAAGGGTCTGTTTCTTGGTTTGCCTCTCTCTTTTGCTTTTCTTGCTCATTTGTTTTGTTTCTCACATTCCACGTGAGTAAAATCATATGGTATTTGTCTTTCTCTGACTTATTTTGCTTAGCATTATACTCTCTAGCTCCATCCATGTCATTGCCAAGGGCAAGATTTCATTGTTTTTTAAAAATTTTTCTTTTATATTATACTATTATAATAATAGTATTATATTAGTATTATGTATGTATTATTGTATATACTATATATAATACTCTTTCATATATGTCACTTCTTTATCCATTCATCGGTTGATGGATACTTGGGCTGCTTCCCTAGTTGGGCTACGTAAATAATGTGGAGCATATGATGTTAAGCAGGAGTTCTCAACCATGGAGGGATTGGAGGAGAGAGACAATGTAACAATTACCCAGGACATTTTTCCAAAATGCTTAAGTACATACACACAGTTCTTCTCCCCACCATCCCACCCGAATGCCCGAGGCATATCAGAATCTGCAGTAGGCATCAGTGGTTTGCATTTGTCAAAAGCTGATAGCCCCTTCTTCCCTAAAATTGAGCTCTATACTTGTAAAGAGCATTATAAAGCCCACTTTGTGTTAAACCCACATCTCTCTCCCTCTTGTCATCACCATTTTTTAAAAAATTTTAAATGTTTTTATTTATTTTTGAGACAGAGAGAGACAGAGCACCAGCAGGGAAGGGGCAGAGAGAGAGGGAGACACAGAATCAGAAACGGGCTCTAGGCTCGGAGCTGTCAGCACAGAGTCTGACGCGGGGCTCGAACTCATGGACTGTGAGATCATGCCCTGAGCCGAAGTTGGACGCTTAACCGACTAAGCCACCCAGGTGCCCCTTGTCATCACCATTATAACACATTAGCCTGTTTCTATGCCTGAACTGTTGTTCCAGCGGATTAAACACTTGTTCTCTATATTTGGCTTCTTCATTACCACCCTATCTGGTGTATCCAGCCCCCTGGACAGTTTTAAAACCTAGGAAGATTAGATGTTTGAATTATAGGGCTATGGAATGTGTAGGACTAACAAAACAGGGATATCTTCATGAGGAAACCAGGATTTTGAGAGTCCTGTTAGAACTGAAGATTCCTTGGGGTGCCTGAGTGGCTCAGTCGGTTAAGTAACCAACTGTTGATTTTGGCTCAGGTGATGATCTCTTGGTTCCTGAGATAGAGTCTATATATATATATATGCTATATGTGTGTGTGTGTGTGTGTGTGTGTGTGTGTGTGTATACACACATATACTTGTGTATATATATATGCTATATATATAGTGTGTATATATATATATGTTATATATATAGCATATATTTATGTGTATATATATGCTATATATATATGCTATATATATGTGTATATATATGCTATATATATGTGTATATATATGCTATATATATGCTATATATATGTGTATATATATGCTATATATATGTATATATAGCAATTCCTTAATGAGGACTTACCTTGTGCTTGGGATTCTCTCTCTCCCTCTCTCTCTCTCTGCCCCTATCCTGCTCTTGCATGCACTCTCTCTCTCAAAATAAATAAACTTAAAAAAAAGGAACTGAAGGTTTCTTAAGACCCCAATGTGTTCAGTCATCATTGGCAATCCTAGCCATCCTTGGCTTGCAGTGCCAAAAAAGCATTTGCCTGGAGTCTGGCTCGTGACCCTCAGGCAGCTTGGGGCGGGGCAGGGGGGGGAGGTCACCAGAACAAGTATGACTGCTGCATTTCACAGAGTAAGTGAGGGGTTCCAGAAAGGCCAGGGGGCCTGCCTGTATATTCACAGATAGTGAGGGGTGCAGCCAGGCTCAGCTGGTGTGGAGACTCCCCTGCGTTGGGCTTGTTTCCTGTGCTGGAGGTTGTGTCAGTGTGGGGAAATGTGACCTGGCTTGCTTGTATGCGTCAGTGACCATTCTTTCAGACAGGACATGCTCAGGAACTGGCATCCTTTTACAAGCCGATACTGAGAATGTGTTTAAAATTTCATTCCTTGCAATGCCGACCCTTGAATCTTTCCCTCCATTGTTTAGGGTCAGGTGTTCAGTTCTGTAAGGACCCTGAGAGCAACGAGTGGGTGGATCATTTCTAGCAATATATATGTGACCCCACACCCTGGGGGAGAGTAGCACAACACCATAAATTCTGATTCATATTTTCTCAGGCATGCTGTCATTCAGTGGGGACTCAGAAAAAAGGAAAAATATATGTATGTGTGTGTGTATGTGTATACACGTGTGTGTGAGTGTGTGTGTGTGTGTGTGTGTGTGTGTGTGTGTGTGTTATTAAGAAGACTTAACCAACACCAGTACACGAGAGAAAACCACAGCCCTCTAAGAATGTTTCTGGGCTAAAAAAAAAACAGAAAGAAAGAAAGAAAAAATCAATTCCATAGCTTTCCACCTGGGCTGGCCAGTAATCACAACAATAATGCCTTATAACTGCATGTAGGCTTCCATAATGTATTCATATCGATAATAAAAGATATATATACACACACACATATCAATTCCTTACCGAGAACTTACCTTGTGCTAACACTTTCGGGACCCTTTTGTATATCTTACTTTATTGAATTCTTGCAGAATCTCTAACAAGGTTATCCTTCTCTCCGTTTTAAACTGGGAAAACAAGTTCAGTGAGGCAAGTGATTTACTCTAAATTGCAAGGCTAGAAAGGCCCCGAATTCTTCACTAGAGAGGATCTGAGACTCCAAAGCCAGTGCTCTTTAAATTGCCTTGTGGCTGACTCTAGAATCATACACCTATAGGTTTTTAATTTTTAAATTAAAAACAAAAATGTACTATGCTGAAGCGTTCTTCTCCTTCTTCTTCTTCCGCTCTCCTCTTTTCTCTCCTTCCCCCTCCTTCTTCCCCTCCCTTTCTCTTGTCCTCCTCCCCCACCTCTTCCTTCCTCACCCTCCTTCTTTCCCTCTCTCAGAAGAAACAGTGGTCTTTTTGCTTTCCTGGAGTGACAGCCTCTCATGGTTAGAAGAAAATTTAAAGATCATCTATTTTAAACCAGTGGTTAGCAAAATGGTTCACATTAGAATTGTCTGGGTTAAAAAATATTCCTGCTTGGATCCCATCCCAGACCAATTAAATCAGGATCTCTGGGGTCATGAGTCTTTTTTTTTTTTTTTTGTCTTAACTCTCCAGTTGATTGTAATGTGAAGCCAAGATTTTGCACCACTCATCTAGACTCACTGACCATTCCTTCTACAATATCCCTGCAAAATTTTCATCCATATTAGGTTCAAAGGCCCCTAATGGCAGAAAACTTACAATCCTGGGAGGCAGCTGATTTCATTTTTGAGCTTCTCTATCTAGAGAACAACCAAAAAACAAAAACAAAATCTTATTATGGGTCAGGCAGTGTCACATCTGTTATCTCATTTAATCCTCATAGGGTTTTTGTTATCTCTACTTTACAGATGAGGAAACTAAGGCTCATTTATCCCTTCACTCAACAAACACTTAATTGCATTTATATCTACTAAATGACAAGCCTTTTACAAGCGCTGGACACGCGCAAATGTGTAAGACAGGCATGGCCCTCAGTACGCTTTCCTAAGCTGGGGAAGATGGTCATGAAAAACCAGGTTGCATAGCCAACTAATTCCAGGTGCACTGAGAGTTTGCAAAAGGTGCATCTGGCCTTGTGTGGGTGCAAGGAGATCAGTGGACCACCTCTGAGCTGAGCCCTGAAGGACAAGTAGGAATTGCCTAAGGACAGGGGACTACTTTGTGCAGAAGGCCACAAGGCAGGAAAGTGCTCCATGTTTTTGAGGAGCTAGAAGGTGGCCAGCATGTCATTAACACAGACAGAGGGACCCCAGAAGAATGCAGGAATGGAGGGAGGGCAGACTTGGCTGTATCCACTCATTTAGATCAGGAGAAGCCTTTGGAGAATATTAACCCCAGGAGACACATAGACAGAGGTGTGTGTGTGTGTGTGTGTGTGTGTGTGTGTGTGTGCACGCGCGCGCGAAAGATCTTGTCTAGCTGGGGTCGGGGGAGGGGCAAGATGGATGAGTCTTCTTCCATTACCACATAATTTCCTGCTTTCCTACATGTAAGAAGGATTACAATCCTTTCTTCCTTTATCGATGTGCTCTGAGAAGGGAGCTAGAACCAGAGACAGTGCTTCAATAGATTCTAGTGGGTGAAACCTATGTGAGGAGGGAAGGGAATGAGTCTACATAGAAACCCAGAGAAGGAGCCTTTGGGAATCTGAGCCAGGGGTTCAGAGCCTACCTCTCTTGATTCTAGTGGTCATGTTACTGTGTTCTTAAGAATAGTGTGTGTGTGTGTGTGTGTGTGTGTGTGTGTGTGTGTGTGTTTAATTTTAACTGAAACAGAGAGAGAATATCCCAGATATAAGTAAAAATGGAATGACCAGGATTATGCGAGCCCAGGGAGAGAAGAACCAACAGATACAGGCACCTGTAGAGACGAAAACACAACACACTTGTGTACAGAAAGTCACTGGCCTCTCTCTTCTGCACATACACATGCACATAAACATACCAAACACCCAAAACTTTGACCTTCAGGAAGGAAAACATGTCTCCTCTGGGCTGCAGGGTGGGAGGAGCATGGGCTTCGGAGCCA